TGTAAATACCAGGAACATGAAAGAAGGAAATAGTTAGCAAACAGCGCATAGCAACATGCAAAACAACTATAGCCAATCTCCCTTACCAAACAAATCAAAGTGCTCATGCTAACAAACTCTTGTAATGATAAATCAAACTCCCCTTCACTAAAAACAATGAACAAGAAGAAAAACAACAAAAATAATATGGTGGAGCAAGCAAGAAATCTCAGAGTTGTACCTTAAAACACACAAGATTATCCAAGAAGCACAATTACTAGTAAACACAATGTGCACAGTCTGTAGAAGATTCCTCATGAAAGAAAGTGATGCCACATGTGAAAAGCATAGATTCCATGATAAAAGTGTGTGTGTGACTCTTGGAGTTCGACAAACACTAGATTCAATCCCAGTAGTGATCTGAAAGTTGGACCTTCGACAAGAGAATATAAGCACAACAAAGGAAAGTCAAACCACTAGGAATCAAGGGGTATTTGGTGAGTAAAAGCGGAGGCTCCCCCTTAATCAATGAATCCTTTATTTTTTTCCTTTATTTTTTTTATTTTTTATTTTTTTACATCTTTTTCTTTTCTTTCTTTTGCACATCCTTTTTTTTTTGTTTGTTTCTTTCTTTTGCACATTTTTTTCTTTCTTTTGCACATGTTTTCTTTCTTTTGCACACTCATTGGCGGCTGACACGCTTAAGAGTATGGAAACCAAACCAGAGAAGCAAAGATATAATAAGGATGGCTTGGTTGGTGACTCTAATGTAGCCTTTTCCTCATGCCTGGACTACAAAGAATAGAGGGGAAAGCTGTGGAGATGCAAAAAGATGGAAGGTGGTTAAAAGACTCAACATCACCAATGATATGCTAGTATAGGTCAATTCCTCTAGAAACGCAAAAGATCAATGACAGAAGTCTATAGAGAACAAATAATCTCTAAGGCGGAAGACTCCGATATTTGCTAATCCAAGAGTGTGTACAGAATGAGACATACTAATCAAAAAACACACACTCCAAAATGAGTAATGACCACAAAAAGCACACACATATTAACATGTAATGAATATTCTCATCAATTCCAATGTGCACCAAGGACCACTCAAAAATTTCAAGCTTGCAAAACCATACTAAGAAAATCTTTTTGGGATTTTTTTTTTCCCAAAAATAAAGCAAGACAAAAAAAATGAACAAGCACACATGTAATGACAAAAAAATAAAAATAAAAATAAAAACACACAGAAACCCAAAAACTAAAACGACAAAACAAATTAACAAAAGTCAAGTTTTCTCATATGAACAAAGTTGTGAGAATTGCGGTTCTTGGGTGGTGTCTTGACATTGTGGTTCCCTTCCCTTTCAATGGGAACATGTCTCGACATGGTTTCCAACTTCCTATTTCTAGGTCTAGGTAAACACAACCTCTGTTCATGTTTGGTCTCAAGCAAATCAAAATAGCAAGGTTTATTATGACCCTTAACCTCCTTACAACCAATGAAGTGTCTCTTACCCCATGAGATGTTAGAATTTCTTCCATCTTTATGAGACACTCTCCCATGCAACTTATAACAACAAGGGTGAATATGACCATGCATACCACAATGATGACAAATAAAAACAGGGTGTACAGGGTGTACCTTTTTTTCTTTTACCTTACCAACTCTAGGAAGTTTGAGAAGTCCATCCTTATGTTGAATTTTTTGTTCTCCCTTTCCTTGAGTTCTTGTATCATGAGATGTAGATGCACTCTGTTTTTGCACTTTGTTATCACCAAAGCCAATGCCACTCTTGTCAGAACAAATTTGTTGAGACCCAATGATATTGTCCAAAGTCTTTGATCCTCTATTCCATAGACCAATGGTAGCCATAGCACACTTGAGTTCTTCCTCTTTCTTGATCATTAGTTCTTCCAAAGCAACTTGAGACATCTCGAGAGTTTCAATTTTTTCTTCATATGTTGCATAGATTTGCTGTAGCTCATTCCTCTCTGTCTCACAAGTCAAGAGTTTTGTACAAAGAGCTTGTTGATCATTAGCTATCTTGATGGCATCAATCCTAGCCTCGGAAATCTCCTCATTTAGTTTGACATTCTCACTTTCACATGCTTTGAGTTTCATAGTGAGTTTGTCATTCAATTTGGATAACTTAAGAGATTCCTTATACAGCTTTTCATAAGCTTGCTCAAGCTTTTCATCATCACTTCCCGAGGATTCATTATCAGTGGCATTCTCAACCAGGCTCTTCGGATACTCTGTTCGTCCTTCAGTTTCGAAAGCTGCCATGAAAGCAAGGAATTGTTTATGTCCCTCTTTGCCTTGATCTTCGTTGCCACTTTCATCTTTATCAGACTCTAATTCATCATCCCAAGTGATGGTGAGGGCTTTCTTCTTCTTCTTCAAACGAGTGGGGCATTCTGAAGCAAAGTGGCCAAATCCTTGGCATCCATAGCATTGGACTCTTTCAGAGTTCCCTTGTATCTTTCCTTTCTCCTTATTGGCTATAGGATTAATTTTGAATTTATCTTTGCCTTTAGATTTATGAGTATGAGTAGATTCCAAAAGTTTAAGATTCTTTTTCAGAAAAGATTTTTTAAATTGTTTTATAAAAGCATCCGTAATCTTGGAATCTATCTCACAATTCTCATCAGAATCCTCTTCAACTCTATGAGCACTACTATAAGCAATAGTAGCTTTTTGTTTCTTTTTGAAATTCCTATATGCCTCATAAGTTTGGAGATTTCCAACCAAATGATCTAGCTTGAGGTTATCAACATCTTGAGCCTCTTTAATAGCCGTAACTTTTGGTTGGAACCGATTGGGCAAGGACCTCAAAATTTTTTCTACAATCTTGGATTCCGATATTTTTTTCACCTAAATTGAAGCTGGAATTTACAATGTCACTCAACTTCGCATAAAATTCATCAAAGGTCTCACTATCTTTCATTGAAAGGTTTTCGAAACTAGACGTGAGCCTTTGAAGTTTTGAGCGTTTAACAGAAGGAGTGCCCTCATGAATAGTTTGTAAGATATTCAAAGCCTCTTTTGCGACTTCACAATTGCAAATACGACTAAACTCTTGTGTGACAGCGCAAAAGAGAGAATTGATAGCTTTACTATTCCAGCTACTATTTTGGTAATCAATTATGTCCCACTTATCAATTGGTTTGAGAAAAGTTACTCCATCAACAATAATTGTTGGTTCAGTCCACCCATACATGACAGATTGTCAAACTTTTTCATCAATAGATTTTAAAAACGATCTCATACGAGCTTTCCAAAAAGAATAATTGGATTCGTCAAGTAGGGGTGGTCGATTCATAGAATTTCCCTCACGAATTGTATCTATTATCACAAATCAAACAAGATTTCGCTCAAAAGTTTTAAAAAACAAACGAGCAACCGGCTCTGATACCAATTGAAAAATCTAGAAAATCCCTAGATGTTGATTTGTGATTATGTCTCAATTTTAAGCAGTATATAACAATCTCAATCAAACAATCAAGACAAATTGACAAAACGATTTTACGTGAAAAAATCACAATTGGACACCTCCAATCGTGATAAAAAAAAACTACGGGCAACTGCCACAATACAATCCACTGAGAAGATATAAAGAAATTACACATGTATACTCTTAATTACCTAGCGAATCCACGCCCGAATTGAACCAACCTCTATGTGTCTCTTCCAACCTCATCTTCACCTCGAAATTGTCTTGACGATGAGCTACTCCGGAATCCACCAAAGCTTCAGGCTTGAATTCTTCAGAATCTACCGAAAAACAACCCTCTCTTTTGTGTAGAACAAACAAATAATCCTTTGATGTATACTCTTTAAACCATGAGTTGAATACTCAATCAAAACGTCAAAGAAAACTAGCAATATATCCCCAGAGATAAACCTTAATATTCAAAAAGAAGATCTGGAGAAGTAATCCTAAAATCTAACAGAAACCCGTACTTATAGAAATCTGGGACTGCGAAGCTCGCTCGAGCAAAGACTCTCTCGCTTAAGCGAGGAACCAAAAACGTGTGTTTTCCGTAAGTGGCTTCGCTCAAGCCACGCAACCTTCGCTCGAGTGTAAATTCATCTCTTTTAGGTTTTTACATAGACGCAGCCTTCGCTTGAGCGAGGACTTCTTCGCTCGAGCGAGCAAGGGCGGATAGGCAATTTCGAATGGAATTTTGCATTTTGTTTTGGGAGCGCTGCCCCTCGACCCTGCCGTGGTGCTGCTCCGGACCTGCCAAGGGGCGCTGTCCCCTGGACCCCCATGAGCTGACCGGCAGCTCGATCCCCGTCATAATCAGCGAAGTGGCAATCTTGAAAGTATTAACATCACAAACTTCTCTGCAAGGCACAATTCGGGTTGGATTCGCATCTAAATACTTATAGCCTCACTGAAATAAAAAGTGCGAAAACAAATACAACTTAAAGGAGTTTTGTCAAACGAGGTTGCCAAGAATAAAAACCTAACACTAACCATATAAATATGATCACAATCTATGGTAACATTAGATTTCCATGTATGGTATTATCATTAATCAGGTTATTAATTAATTAAAATTGAGAGTAGATGTGTCCACAAGAAAATCACAGAACCTATTAGGTTATAAGTTTTTTCATAAGACCATATATTGTATAAGTCTTCCAAATATAATTTATAAATAATTTACCCAATAAAGAAATGATATTTGATGATATCAATAAATGAGCACCATTTGTCATTACTCACCTATCTTTCATTCTCTCACTTAAGATGAAAATTAGACCAACATTTCAACGATGTGATAATTTATTAAAATATCTAAAATAACTCTCTTACTCTTTTATATTTTCTTTGGTTATTAATCACTCATCTCACTTATACATTGTTAGATTAAAAAAATAGACTTGTATATTATTTTTTTTTTAAATTTATGCCTCAAATTTAAACTAAATGCGATTGTAATTCACATATTTCAAATTGTGAATTCTTTTTTTAATTTTTAATTGTTATTGTTTTTGGGGTTCTACTTTTAACTGTTTATCATTTATTAGAATGATTGAGATAAAGAGCATACTAGAAACTATAAAAGAAAAAGTAAATATGATTGACTCCAACACACATTCCTGGCAATTATCAACAACAACGGGGAAGAAGAATGCAAGCCTCAACCTGTTAATTCTGTTGATGACTGTCATGGTGATATTCCAGGCCTGCATTAGCCATGGCTATCCGGTCAACCAAGCGGGTCGACTCAGGGCCTTGTGGAAGGATAAGAAGAAGCAAACTGATCAGAATCTTGCTACTGATGATGAGTGGGCAGTGACAGTGCTGTCCAGTATTGGAGGAGGTGGTGGTGGTGGTGGTAAAGTTGGAAAGATGGAAAATGATGAAATTGAAGGTGGGCTTCCAGGGCAGCCAACAGAGGTGATGTTTAAACAGTATGCAGGGTATGTAAATGTGGATGAATCCAAAGGAAGAAGCCTTTTCTATTATTTTGCTGAAGCTGTCCATAATCCATCTTCTATGCCTCTTGTTCTTGTTCTATGGCTCAATGGACGTGATCTCTCTCTCTCTCTCTCTCTCTCTATATATATATATATATATATACAAATTAATTTGATGTGTTTTGAATGTAAACTTTTAGATGATTTGATGAACCAGAACGATGGATTGAATTTGAAAACCATTTAGCTTATTTACTAGAGGTAGAGTTTTAAATTAACCAAATTATAATTTTAAAAAAAAAGTATGAGCAGTTAACAATTTTATAAGCATTTTTTGAAAGAAAATATAAGGTGATGGAGTTTAAAAAAATGTTCATATCAAATGAGCCGTACACTTCAACTGTGTTTGATGGTTCTAAATATCAACAATGATAGCAACCGAATGTTTTTTGAGGAAGAGTTCAATATTTAAAATATATCAATCAAATTTATGTATAGTATGTCCCATATCACATCAATTTAAATCTACATATGAGACTTTCATGGATAGAATTTTCGGATTCCTACCATTTCTCTTTAAATATGCCAATATAGAACATTTATTTTTGAGCATCCTGATAACGATATACTTAGGAGTAAGAATGAAAATCACATTCATATTGGGTGACTCTAGATAAGTATATGTTCATAATCAATTTACTATCAGATTCACAATCGATATTATCAATTCTATTAATATGAAAGTTAATTTCGCAATTGATAATTTTTAAAAAATTATGTTTTTCAGTATATATTGCTCAATACTTTTAATATCCACCACACCATAACTAATACTGATTTGCCTCCCAATAATACCATTTAAAATCATAGTGCCATTGAAAGTTGTTGATAAACATATAAGGTGGTAAAAAGACTAATATTATTTGTGAATGCACAAAACAGGGCCAGGTTGTTCATCACTTGGGGTGGGAGCCATGGGAGAGATTGGACCTTTTGGTGTAAATTCAGACTGTAAAACTCTTTATCCAAGAAAGCATGCCTGGAACAAAGGTTGGTTAAATTCTTATTTTGCTGTTACTAATTACAAAGACCTATATCAATCAGTTTGGTTTTTTATTTTTAAAAATATTTTTTGGGTTATTTTTAATTTTTTGTGTTTTGTTGTCTTTAGTAAAATTAAAAAAAAATTAGTTATTTATTTTTTAAAAAGTAAAATATTTGTGAAGAAATTTAAAAGGAATTCAACATGTACATAAAAATATGAAACTACATTGATTTTTTTATATATTTTTTGTATTTAGTGAATCTTTTTAAAGATTATTTTCACAAATTTTATACCTTTTAAGTGCATCCAGACTAAATGAATTTAAAAAGTAAAGAAAAAAATTGAAATATTAAATATATTTGTTTAAAACTGAAAAATAATTGTGTTATATATATATACACATATTCTAAATTATATATCATTATTTATGGAGTTAGTTGGCACGCTTAATTTATCCCGGAAAGATAATCAAGTTTTTGTTTAATAAATTTATTTATCATTTAACTGTTTACCCTTCCCTCTAATCCAGTAATTGCACTAAAAGGTTCAAATGGAGAGTTGTGAGCTCACTCCAAATTCATCTGGTTAATCTAAATTATTCATCTTTTAATGTTTTTTGTGTGGATTGTTTATATAAAAAATTAAGTTGATCGGATATTAACAGTCATTTAATTGAATTATGCTTGACTTTAAAAAAGGGCAGTAAAAATTTCGCGAATAAACTATCTATTTTTTTAAAAATATGTGATTATGGATATTTATTCAATTTGATTTTTTTCATAGAAATACTGTCGCTAATACTCCTAATGCCGTCGCTAATACTTTTTGCGACGGCAAAATGACTTTTTGCGACGGCAAAATGACTTTTTGCGACAGCAAGAGGGGGGTCGCAAATGCAGGGGTTGCAAAAGAGTTTTTGCGACGGTAAGTGCCGTCGCTAATGTTTTGCGACGGCATTTTTTGCCTTTTTGCAACGGCACCGTGCAGTCGCTAAAACGTTTGAAATTTCTTGACTTTTTTGCGACGGCCTTATTTTACCGTCGCTAAAAATGTTATTTGAGACGGAAAAAAATACCTTCGCTAATAGTCTTTTTTTAAAAAAAAACACTGTTTTTTTGCGACAGCGTGGTGCCGTCGCAGAAAGTATAAAAAATATGAAATTTTCTATTTTTTTCGACAGTGTAATGCCGTCGCAAAAAATATTAAAAAATAATAAAATTTCTATTTTAAATAATAAAATTTCTATTTTTTGCGACAGTATAATGTCGTCGCAAAAAATAAAACCTATAACAAAATTAATAAAAATATTAAAAATTTCTATTTTTTCCGACGGTGGTGCCGTCTCTCACTCACTAAGAGCTGATTATTTACATTCCATTCACAAAAACATCATAACAGAAAATAAAAATAAAAATTGATCAAGCCATCAAATTCAATATTTTACAAAGAATAATTAAACTGTACAAAATTGATCAAACCATCAAATTCAATATTTTACAAAGAACAATTAAACTGTACATGTTCATAAAAGCATATTTAAATTATAAAATTCACCCAAATCCTAAAAAAAAATAAAATAATAAAATAAAATCTAAAATTCACCAATCAGCACATTGGATATTTAAATGCTCTTACAAAAAATAAAAAAATAAAAAATTTCCAACAAGATCTCAATTTTGAGCTTATTTCAAAAATCAAGCTGCAAATTCCTTACTTCTGGAATCAGATCTTCCCCTCAGCAAAATTTATCCTTTTGACCTACAAATAAATAGATAACAGTTGCAAATTATAATCTTTTGGAGAAACCAACTATTTAAACACCAGTAATGAAGACAATGAAGACTGTGGAAAGAACACTTACGTTGTCATCAGGAACAACTGCATATCTCTTAATTGGAGAAACCAAAACTTTCCCTGCTCACAAAAAATAATAATAATAATAATAATGGAATTCAATGTAGTCCAAAATAGTGTAATAAACTCTTATTGTAATATACCTGGGGAATTTTTTCATGTCTGATGGGAGTGGGAAGGGTTGGACTTAAAGGGTTCCTACCTGTCTTGGATTGTAGAATACACAAATTTATTTTGTAGGAACTCACATGCAGAGGGTCCATCATAAAGAATTGTGAGAAGAATACTAATATGTGATTACAATTAACTCTATATATGGTAGTTAATCAGGTGTAACGAGCCAAATTCAGTGGCCAATAACTTCAGACTAAATATAGACATTGTTCTTAATCCAAAATGGCCTCATGGTCTATATAGTCATTTTGTATAAGTAAAATTTTATAACAATCATCTCCTGGAGGGGAAAAAAAACAAATTTAAAATTTAAAAAGCCAAAAGAGACTTTGTGGGTAGGTTATTGAAAGCTCAGCAGCAACATCTTCACATGGCTTGGAGTGTGTCATACCACATCAAGTTGCAAATATATGTCAAAACCAATCAAACTCTCAGTTATTTATCAATGAGGACTGTGAGGATGATAAAGTTGTTATGCTATCCTCCACTTGAATTGAAAGAGCCAAGTGGAAATTTTTTTGACAAATTGCAAATCAGTGAAAGAATGAAAAAGTAACTGTAATTTTATAAAAATCTTTTTGTTTAAGTTTTTCATGATTTTGTTGCACATGCTATTTGCGAAACAGTCCTGCTTGGACCCCCAGTGGGGTAACTCCATCTAACCTATTTTGTAATATTTTATACATAAAACACTGACTAGGCAAAGAGAAAATTTTTTAAATAACTAAATGTTAACATGCTCATTTTAAAGAAATCAAAAAGTAGATCAACTTAGATATATTTTGTCCCGTTGGACACATCAAACCAGCCTAACCTTCCATCTTTCAATAAATTTTCAGCCAGGATGGACTAGTTGACTCAACCTTCAATTATTATTCATCTAACACATAAGGACATAACACAAGATTGCCAAAACATTTTTCCCCTGGCACCTCTGAGAACATTGAAACAGTTGATTGATGGAGACAATTTCTTTTTTTGTCAACCAATTGGTTAAGAATCTTTTATTTAATTTTTATAACAGAATGGAGAAGTATCTTTATTACTTGAACGTTTAAATAAAGACTTAGCAAAACCAAAAGTAAGTCAACATGTTTGTTCATAGCATACTAGCTAGTTCAATATTCTGTTCATGGCACACGAGCATACTTGAACATAAATATACTTATATTGAGACTAAATAAAGGAGTACAAAAAAGTCATTCCCCACTTATGGCCTCCCTTGATCAAGGGCACTGTGAGAGGTTAGACCCATAAATCTTTTGGCTAAAGTTTTATGAAGTGGTTGCCTTTCTTAATCATACCCACATTTGACAATTGGCAGCCAAACTTTTACTACTCAACAAAGCAATGTTTCCTTCACTAAATTAACAAGTGAAATTTCCAAGAAAATGTGCACCTAAACCAAACTAACCATTGTGTCCCAATCACAAAAAATATACACCTCATTTATCTTTTATTTCTAATTTAGCAAATGAAGACTTTATACCTATCTTTTAAACCTACCTCCAATTTTAGACAGGTCCCAAGATGATTGTATATCTGTCTACACATTTCAATAAGTTCATTACTTTTTACCTCTTTCCTATTATTAATATTATACCAAAATCTATGAAAATTTATAACTAATAGCTGAAGCATAATCCATGTAAACCAAGCGACACATAAATTATGTGGATCTCAAATCAGTTACAACGTTAAATTAAGTGACAATCAAATCAGTACTATAAGAAGGTGAATCCTCACTAATCTCTCATGAAAAAATAGGTAAGCAACAGAACATTGTAGCCAGCGCCAAAAAGTTGGAGAGGATACTTGAATTGATCATACCATACTTTAGAAATAGAAAAATAAATAAATTTCTAAGCAACTAATCAATATAGATCTTTTTCCTCCAACAAAAAAATATATAAAGACACTAAAATTTAAAGTGCCAAACCAAAGCCCCAACCAAAGAACTAGTTTAAGCATTTACCAATGAGCTGTGCTTCTTGTGAATAAGCGATGCAAATGCTGCATAGAGAGATGCAGTGTACATGCTGCCAACTTGCTTTGGTACCAATGTGGTCGGTTGTACCTTTGCATCATATAGTGCCTTCGCAACTTGCTGGGTTGCCTGCAGTTACATTGATATCAAGTGCTTATCAGCAAAAGTGTCCAATCTCAGGAATCATTATATTGCATTACTCAATTTGTTTGCCTTATTAACCAGGAAAATGTAAGTCTAGGCAAAACTAGAGAATGAATGCAAGAGAGAGATTTGAAATACATGTTAGGAGTGAAAACAGACCTTCTCGAGATCACGGCTTTGGTAGCTTTCATCACCAGTTAGAGTTGAAAATAGATTCATATTTACATTGCAAATAGAGACCAAAACAGATTCATATTTACAGATTAATAACAGATTCATATTTACATTCCAAATCAGATCATAAATATTTACACAGATTCAACACAACTAAGATCAAACCAGAGAGTGATCGGTGAGACTCAGATCTGTTGGTCCACAACAAAAATCAAATCATAAATATTTCGAACTAAGATCATAAAAATCAGATCACAACTAAGATCATATTTCGAATCAGATCTGTTGGTCCACAACAAAAATCAGATCATAAATATTTCGAACTAAGGTCATAAAATCAGATCACAACTAAGATCATATTTCGAATCAGATCAGTTGGTCCACAAAAAATCAGAGATGAGAGATCAGGGAGAGAGAGAGAGAGACGCTTACCTGTGTGTGAGTCGATCGGTGCAGAGATGCAAAACCAGAGAGTGAGTGTGAGACTGATGAGATGAGAGAGTGAGGGAGACAGATCAAATCAGATCAGATCAGAGAGATATATATCTGATATATATATATATATATAAAACAAAAAAAATCATTGATCGGGAGAGAGAGAGACAGAGATTGAGAGAGTTTACCTGTGAAGTAGATTGATCGGCTGTGCGATGATGATCGGTGCGATAAGATGAGA